CTTTCAGCCATTATAGGGTATTTTTCCAGGCTCATTTTAACTGGAATCAGAAAAAGGTGACTTTCTTGTGGTAAAAGTTTTTGTAAGCAGCATGAATCAGTTTGAAAGGCAGGATTTAGTCCCAGCATTCTGGCTGTGAGTTTGAGGGAGATCCACAGACCATGGTATTTAAGGGAAGGACTCCTAGCAAATGGGATCAAAGAAAAATGGAGGACGGAGGAGCTGAGAGGGAAAAAGTGGAACATCAGAAGACCGTTTCCTGGCCTTAGAAATACTTACTGGTAAACTACAGGCAGGGCTTGAAGGTCTTGGACTTCAAAGGTGTTTAGAAGCCTCAAGCCCATTTTGCTTAGTGGCACTGGGCCCTCCGGCCTTTTCTAAGTCAGTTGCCTTGCTTGTTAAAGAGGATGCTAACACATAGATTCGCAGGATTTGCAAAGCTAAGTTCACTGAGGTTTGCATGGGAAGTGTGGGAGGAGATTCTTAAAGATGTTAAACAAGGGAAAAAACGGAAAACATGAGACACTTTGCCCTAGTAACATTCAAAGCAGGCACCGAAAGAAAGCATTCAGTGGGGTTACAACACAGAAGTTCTTTGCCCACAGAGCCACAGCTTCAGCAGAACAAAAATATCTGAAGCACCTGGACATCCCCTTTGTTCTGAACCAGCAGTACAGACTGCACAGGGACACAGCAGTAATTTAAAAGCTCGTTTTCTGCATCCAAACATCATGTCAGGATTAAATGCAATCCATCCCACTATCACTTAACGAGCACCCCTGGGACCACTGTACCTTGGAGGTATGATGTCACACGTCAGCAGAGAGATTATTTGTTTTGAAGCTTGTGAACAGCTCTGAGACTTCATTTCAAAGTGCTCCATGCAGAGTCATGACTCAAACCCTTCTGGTCTCACAGAAGGGCACAACTGACTACAGTTCCCCCATGCTGTTTCTGAGCATCCTGTAAGGGATTAGTAGATATTTAATTTTATTATTCTTTCTTCTCTTTTATGTAGGAATGGCTTTGTCATTGCTTCAATTCCTTCATGTTCATGACACATTTTCTCCAGTGTCATATCAATGATGTCTCTACAGAGACAAGCAGACACAGACACAGCAAAAAGCACTGCAACAAAAACTGAGGCATTCATTCAATTTCAGGTGATTTTTAATTAATATGTAGCCATTGGGAATATCATAGTATGAAAGCCATCTTCAGACCTGTGGCAACACTTACCTGTTTTCTCCTTTTGTACGAATGAACAATTATGACCCAGAATTTTATACCTATCCCTTGAAGGGACCAAGATATTCATCTAGGGCGATTTGGTGAGAAGCCAGCACTTTTTTACCAGATCATCATAGTTCATACTCACCTGGAAGCAACTAAAGTGATACCCAGGTTTACCTGATTGAAAATATGTAGCATGGAAAATAGAGCCAGTCATTCTGAATGGGTCATTTTATGCTGAATTGCGGAACCTTATTCAGTTTTAAAACACAAAGCTTAAGATTAAAACCCTGGAGGTGCATAAGGGACCTCTCCTTCATCGTGTCTACATTGGAATTTACTGTTGTATTAGCATTAAAGGAAGAACAAATGAGAAATGTAGACACTGTATATACAAAGACTCCCAGCCTGTCTGAAATGGGGAACAATGTCAATGATACTCATCCAGTTTATTCGTGTTCTCCCTTTCCATGGTGAAGGACCATCAGTAAAGCCATGGTTTCTGTCCCAAGCAGAGCTCCATCAATGAGTGACAGTTCAAAAAGCATGGGAATAGATACAAAACTGGAAAAGGTTCAGAGCACTGTTGCTGTGTAATCTTGGAGAAGAAAGGAAGGGGATCTGGAATGGCTGAAGAATTTGCAATGGGATCCAGAGACATTTGGATGATGGAGCAATGACTGTCACATTAGAGCTGTTACTGCTCCACAGCAAGGCCCTTTCTGCTGCATGGGCAGCACCGTGGAATCGGCCCCGCTCAGCCCCCACAGCCTTGCACTGCACAGAAAGCTGAAGAGGTGTAGCTTGTAGAGAGAAGCTCAGGTCTTCAGTGAGGATCAGACACGGTGGTTCCAGACTTTAATTATAATCTGTTCCTGGCAACAGCGAAATTTAGATGGACAACAGAATGAACAGAACTGCATTCAGTGGCTGCAAATCAGTGTTTTATGTTAAGTGAAATTATTGTACATCGATATGAACATAAATCTGGCTGATACAGAGGGTTGATTAGCACAGCTCTACACTCCAAGTAATGGCATTGAAGATGCAGTGTGAATTTCAGGGAATTAATTATATTGATCACATCTTTTCAATGATAATGCATCAGGCATTTTTATAGCAGATTAAATTAACTGTTTTTACCATTCATTAATACATCCCAGAATATTAACTATACTTACGAAGAAATATTTTTACCCCCTTCCTGCAGACATTCTCTGGACCCCTATGCTGTTACTTTTCCTCTCCTATCCTTTTTGCTACAGGTAAGTGGAGGAGGTATTTATGGTGTTATGCTGTTTCCCTCTAATGGAGCCAGAGTAGCTTTTCCATGAACCAGGCACAGGAGCGTGCGTGAAATAGAAGAGATTAATGTCAGGTGGCAAATTACAGCTGATTACAATAGGTGCATGTATACAGAAACACAATGTAATACTGCCAGGAAAACAACATATCTGGCGGCCAACTCTCCCTTGCCTTGCATGTTCCCTTTGAAAATAGGATACTTGATTTTTTCACTCCAATGGAAATATATCTGCTTCTTCAGTATCGATTGCAGAACCTCTGGAAGATCAACAAGGACCCCACGCCCTCTGTCCTACTATTATCACAGAGGCAGGGGTATGGCCTGGGTGCTCCTGGGCAGGATCTGAGCCCCACCGGATTAGGAAATACACACGCATTGATGAACTAAAGATAATTACGAAAGGGAATTCCTTGCCCTGACAGCAGGGGCTGGGGCCCCAATACTATGTAGGAAGGGAGAGCACTAACCCAAATACTACATAGGAAGGGAGAGCACACAAGCAGGGTAAAGGCAGCAGTGGCAAAAGGCATGACACAAAGACGAACCATAGTGAGCTACAAATGGTGGTGGCCCATGAGCCTCATCAGTTTCAAGATGAAGGAGGAACACACAAACAGGTGGCAAATGGAGAGGTCACCTGTTCCTTTCTTACCTGCTTTAAGGCTCTACTGCTGCAGTCCCTCAAGTGCTCCATCATCCACCTCTCCTCTGCTTGTGCTTCTTCAGGAATGGTTCAAAATGTCTTGGAAGTCAATTGTCTGCATTGACAATAGCCAGCAATTCTTCAGTGTTTTTGGAGTGCCTTTCCACCTACTAGGAAGGCTGACAGGATACTCTTCTAGTCCTTCAGTGGAATAAGCATGGCACTGCTTTTAGCTGTGAAGAGACTTGTCCAAGGGCACACAAGGATTTGATGGGCTTGCCAAGGTCAGGCCACAAACACAGGGGCTTGCCAGCCATATACCACCTTTCATCACCCTTATGCCAGTCCAACGCCCTCAACTCTTCCCTTCCCCAGACAGCAAGTATCTTAGTTATTTTTAAAATAATTTCATGTATCTGTTAGACTGCAAACTACAAAGTAAATATGCATTTCAAATGAAATGGCTAGGACTTTGATGCTTCTTAAAATATACATTTTATTATGTTCTGGTGTTTGCTATGAAGGTTTCATTCCAATTGTGAGGGTATACAGCCTTTACAAACTTCTTGAGTTAAAGGTTTTTGTTGGTGGTTTTATGTTCTGCTTCTTTCATGGCAGAGGAAAATACATAGGCTATAAAATGTTGACATTCATTAGATGTTTAGTATTACCTCTTCGTATATGCTGTGGAATGCTTTGTAGAAATACTATATAAAATAAGGCAGACTTTGACAGGGAATTCAGTCATAAATTTCATGGGAGAAAACAAAAAGTTCCAACAAGTTCCGTGCTGAATTCCCGCCCCGCGGTGATGCGCGGGACATGTGGCGTACAGAAGCCTCCCCTCCCTGGCGGCGCTCTCAGGGGACCTAAGTCCTTGTGATCTAGGCTGCGACCTCAGATCAGATGTGGCGACCTGCTGAATTTAACATATTTTTTTGTAGCCAAGGGAAGATCAGGTGGTCGTCACTGGTTTGTGGGAGAACTACTGCAGTTCTGGTGCTTAGTATACATTTCTTGTTTATTCTACTATTCTCAAGTAAGACCTTTTCAATAAAACTTATTTTAATTAACATAAATCAGACAATATTTAAACATACACATCTATCCTTACAGTGCAATAAAAATGTATCATTGTATAGTATTTTGTATTTGCATTATGAAAATAAAAGGTCTGTACATCAATTAAATGTATATTAATGAGTATGAATCATGTAAATTTGTAATGCATCTAAAGTTGGCTTTGGCTTTTAAGTATTTATAAATTCATAGAAAATATTGAACATCTAACAAAATAAATAAAACATATCATTTTAATCATAGATGCTAACGATCAACCTCAAAAATTGTGTTATTTTTTACATTTGCTACTAAATTTCTTAAAGAGAACTCACTTTCAGTAGTGCTCAGAAGTGAATGATTGCACCTTCTGTGATGTGAAAAAATAGAGTACATCTATTTTTCATAGATCAAAAATTCCTTCATAGAGAGTTGCATTTTAAATGTCTGATTGTTCTACATAACTGTCTTAAGTGCTTATAAAAAGCATGTAGCTTTCTCATAAAAGCTGTGAGTCTCTATTAATAGATATTTCTTTTTCACTTGCAGGATTGAGGATTAAGCAAAATCTTCTAGTGAATGTCCTTTTTATGAGGATTCTTCAAAGTCTTCCAGCGTCACATACTGGTATGAAGACATCATAAAAGTATGTTCACTAATAAACCCTCTTCAGTACAAGTACTGCAGCAATCCAGTGTAATTCCACTTGATAGGCTTATTTCATTGGAGTCCACACATGGTAGTTTGTGGAAGTCAATCGCTGACCTCATGTTCTCTTGAATTTGAAAGTCCCCCAAGCGCATGGGCTAGCCTTACTGTAATACTGAAGAGACCAAAACAAATCTGAAATCACATGAATAAAAGTGAGCTTGAATAAATATGCATCTGGTTAGTAAATTACACACCATGGTCTAATTGCTACTCTGGTGGTGGTCGAAGGCTCCGCAGCTTCCTTTCATCTAGTCCTTTCCAGTATTTAAAGTTATTATCCAGATGCTGCATCAAATTTGGCAGGTCTGCAAATGCTAGGGAAGAGAGGGCAGAGTGTATTTAGTTCGCAGAATTGAAACAGTCACATGATTCTCTCTGCTTAAATATCACTTGAAATGTCTGGGCAACTGTGCTAAGTAGGAAAGCTTAAATCTGTCATACTGATACTTGAAATGGTTTGGGCTGTACAGCTCTCATCACTCAGGCCACTGAGAACAGTTCTGTAAGTCTACTTAATACCAGTATTGCAAGTCCCAGCAAAGGGACCCATGTTTCCAGGAGGGGCATAGATAATTATGCTTCTAATTACTCTACTTCATCAAATCTCAGTCACATGTCATGATCTGGCATTCAGGAGAGTCACATTTCTGACCACTTTTACCACAGAAGCAGCACTTGGAAGGAAACAGCTGCTCCCCCAAGCAGTTTCCAGACTGTAGAAATTTGTCGTGAAGAATAACTGATATTAACATGGACAAAATGACTGAGCCTAAAGTGCTATCAAGGAGAATATCTTCTGTTCTCCATTTACAGAGAAGCAAGTTTAAAATGAAGAAAGTTAAACTTAGCCTGAATCTAATATATTAGAGAGAAGTCACAAGAATGGCTTGTAGCGGTGTCAAAATACTTCTAAGCAATAATGAAGTTAAGCAGCTTACTTGAACTGCAGAAATCTCCCCTTTTCTCCCCCTTTCTTTGGCAGCCATAAGAAAGCATTTTGGTATCGCAGTAGTTTCAAATGTTCACAAAATATTTATTGTCAGGAAATATAGCAAAGTTTTGCTTACCATCCCAGGCATCAAACATATCGGTGATGAAGTAATCGATGAATGATATTTGGGATTTGGGGATGCTGCAAGTATTTCTGTCAAAAACTGGCATCACAACAGGTAAACCTTGCCTCTTTTCTTCATCAGTCTGCAAAAAACACTTGTGATTATTCATCTAAGACACATTCTGTTAATGGGCTGCTTTTAGCAGCAGATTGTTTGGCACTGACTAGAGCATGCAACTGCTAAATAAACAGAGGAACGTGAATAAATCTGAAGAAGCAGCAATTTAATCTGAAGCACCTAGTCGTCTAGGTTTCAGCCAAACAGCAGTTGAATAGTGCCTTCCAGTGTTTCCCACGAAGTGATACATTTACCTTCTGCACCTGCACACAAAGCTGACCCTAAGTAACTGCACACATTACTGATAAAGTTATGACTGCTTCGGAGCTAAAAGATGCTCAGCCATTCTCAATCTCTGATGGAAGTGACATTCTGCACAACTCAGAGATAGCAAAATATCTTTTTTACCCTCTCCCCCCTCCCTTGAGGTACCAAGACTCAGTTGCAGTATTTGGTCTACCTGTAATAATGACTCTGCCCTCTCCTTTTCACCATCTGTCTAAAACCTTTCTTTAGCACACTGTACTAAGTTCTTACAGCATTTCTTGGAGTGAGTGCTGTTCCCATGCAAACACTAGGACCTGACGATTCTATTCTTGAGGCGCAGCCAGCACGTGGGTACACAGAAGGCACCCTTCCTCTGCCTCTTGGGATGGGAACACACGTGCAGTCAAAACTGAAAAAGCCCAGCTCCAAACTGAACAACTGGAAAGCTTAAATTTTCCAAAAACAGCACTGTAGAAGTTGTCAACTTTTCGTCTGAAGGCATCAGTGTTGTATTGGCCTGAATAATATCCCATCACTTAAAATAAAAAAGTTATTTTTCACATTACGTAATGCAGCCTTAAATGTTCTGGGACACTGGCAGTGTATACACACTTGTCTTCCCTGTTAAAGAGATGCTCACCTGGAATTTCATCAGTGTATTTTAGCTGCCTTACCTGTGCAAAGTACTCCTCGGAGATGCGTCCAGCCCACTCTATACACTGCTCTATGGGTCTGCATGGATTGGAAATGTCAGCACACTTTATCAACATGCGTTTGATAAGGATACGGTTTTCAGGAGACGTGAGTACAGTTTTGATTGACTCTCCATCACCATTGTTCTGTAACATTTAAGAATTAAAAATAATCCATTAGCAATGTCTCTGGGCACTTACTCAAAAGCTTTGTGCCTTGGGAATGCTTTCAGCAGATCCTACAGGGTTCAGTCCTGCTACTGGCTACCATAGTTGATGTCCAACTGAATTTATATGGGGATTATGAATGTTACGCATGGCTCTGAACTAGCACTGAACTCGCTTCTGGATTCAGTCACTGTCATTGTGACAGGTCTCTTGGGCATCTTTGGGCAAGTCATCTAATCCCTGTGTGCCTTATCTGCCTCCTTAAAAGTGTGGAGAGGATCCACTCAATACTACATACACTGTGTAGGCAGAAAAATGTCATTCTGTGCTGAAATTCAAGGATTAATGGACTTGCACATTAAGAGTGGAATAGCTGGTTTAAAAAAAAAAGGACTGACTGGACATGCAGGGTCATCCTCTGCACGCAAACCTCATCAGCGTGAGCATCAATCATACTGACAGCACTGCTGCTTATTAGGAGAGTCAGATCCCACATTGCCTTCCAGGCATGCTCCTCATTCCCTTCCACTGGAGCCATGTTAGTCCATCAGTCTCTGACCCGACTGGGAATTTTGCTTTCTGAGAGTTTATCAGTATTAAAGCGATATATTAGAAACATGCTTCCAAACAGCCTCATCTTTCCTCTGCAAGTCTAGGAAAGTTTTCAGCCCACACACGGCTTATATTTGGTTCCCAGGCTGCACATAAAAGCACGTCAATGGTAATCTATATTTGGAGCCAGCATACAGCTAATATGAGCAAAGACTCCAATGATCCAGATTAGAAGCTATTTTCTGCGGAGCTCTGATGAAGTAAGTTGCCAAAGGACAGAGATTCAGGATTAAAATCTCTTTAAAAATTACCTATAATTATAACATTATTACTTGACTCTTTAGGGATGGGTAGGTACAGAAATTTACAACACCGTCTACTCAGAACAGAAGCTCTTTGAGGAATATACTTCTCTGGCACCTAACAAAGTCTTGGTCTACAGTCAGAGCAATGAGGAAGCAACAGTAATAATGATGATGATGACGATGATGATAATAATAATAATGGGCCACCAGTTCCTGCAGTACAAAGAGTGAGATACAAAGCAGCAGAAACTTTCTGATCTTTTATTACGACATATTTTTCAGAAGAAAGTTCTTGTGGGGAAGAAAGTTCTTCCTGAAGGAAGGAACTGACAATAATAAAAAAATTATTATTTGGTAGTATACTGGCTCATAAACACCAGCTCCACAATTTCTCCCAAAATGAGACTCCCAAACCAATTCTTTCCCCTCATTTTTAGATACGTAGAAGGGAAGATACACTGGAAACACAAGTAAGGTGCATATATCTCCAAATGTATAGCAAAATTATGTAAGAGAAAGCCACAGTAAAGTGATGGAAGCTCCAGAAACATAAGCAGTGTGTAACAATTAAGCATGGAAAATTATTAGAGATTATTCAGTAGGTAAACCACCAGGAATCAAGAAAGGATGTTCGCTTCTGTGATCTGTTCAAACCAAGGGCACAGTTCTACTTGCTGGATGCGGATGTCTTGGGAATAAAATGTGCTAACTGTGCTTAGTCGCAGCATCCTGCTCAGAGTGCAGAGGTGTCTCCGCATGTCAGATGTTGGCTTCCTGTCATAGGCTTAGGTGACATCATGAAGGGAAATGGGAGGATAAAGGATGCTGGAGCTGGAAAGGATTTTTTTCAGTTTATGAAACAAAAGAGGAAAGGAAACAAACAGAGCAGCTTCTCAGCATGGCTCTTTGAACAAATATGTATAAAAATAATAAATAAAAAAAAAAATAAGTGGAACTGTCCCATTTGGAACACACAGTTGGCAGCTCAGCCTGCAAACACTACCCTGAGTCACTGCCATGACTGGAAACCAGGCCAGGAAACACACGCTGCCGCTGCAACCAGATATACAACCAGACTTGAAAGAGTATCTACCAGTGGCGTTCTGCTAGTAAGAAGCACAGCAAATGATTTGGTTTACCCACTGACACATTACAGGCTGGTTAATGGGAAACTGCTGAACTGAGAAACTCCCAACCAAAAGAAGGGAAATATTTTGCTTCTTGTTTTCAATAAAAATTATATAGTCTTTGTCTTTCTTCCCATCCTTGGGCAGAATTTGCTGTGAATCACAAATGCCTTGTGGGGCAGATTATTTCCCTGCAGCCCCAGGGGCTCTGGGGCAGAATTAAACTTTTGCTTGATTTCTGTATGTCACTGTATTTGTTTTTACTGTCTGACTGTACAGGTCCAAGTCCCTTTCTTCAGCAGCAACAGCTATTCAGCTCTCCATAACAGGCAAGAAGCAGAGTTTGGCTTTTTGGATGGATGCTTCTGCTCAAAAAATTGCTTCATCCCAATTCTTGGGGCTGTGAAGAAGGGCTCTGCGCACTGAGCCAGGCCAGTATAGAGCCCTCCAGCAGGACTAGCAGGACCAGGTGCCCTAGAGAGTTACGCACCCCACAAGGTCAGCCGGTGCAGTGCACTACACCCAGCAGCAGAACCCTTGTTCTCCTCCATCTCTTCCCCTCCTATGCTGAATGCTGCTATGCTTAACCAGAGAGGCTGCCCAACTGCATCCCTGCAGATTTTCAAGAGCTATAAAGACAAGCCATTTCTCAGGAGTACTGAGAGAATAGGTCCTCTGGTGAGTCTATGTGCCAGACTACACTGGGGGGTGAGCAGTATGGGATGAGTAAAGGAGCGGCCATCAAGGAGCTCCTTCATCTGCAGACTGTCGTGCATAGACAGCAAAGTACCCTGGCTTTTCCTGGCTAGCTCACTTGCTTGTAATCTACCAAGAATTGCTACCCCTTCTTTACTTCTTGTTTGTTAAAATCAAGGAACTGGGCAGAGAAATGTTTAGTCTCACAATTTTCCATCCATTTTGCTGGCCTTACGTTTCCATTAAAATATCCTGAAACAAAAAAAAGTGTATAAGGTATTCAAATAAATGTAGGTGTTATTTCTTAAAATTGTTCTAAGCAAAAGTGGTTCTGTCGAAAATTCCACAATCATAAATTAATACATATATATGTTTAAAAAAAAAGTCTACAGTGAAACGGCTTGATCATCTACAGCTATGGTTGTAAGCTAGCCTGCAGGCTGACGCTTCACATTAAAAGATTTTGTTTAATACTTTCATAACTGCCAATTTAAATTGGTTGAAGTTTCCCCACCAGGTGTCTGCCTCAGGCAAAGATTTTCCTCCCCTGGAAATTGCACTTAAAAATGTTTTGGTGGCTTCTAAATATGAGGTTGGGGGAAATAAGCTCTTCATGCTGATGTTAAAAATTATTGCTGTTTTTCTCTTTTTTTTATTACCCTCACATCTTTATGAGTGAGGACCTGGAATTGAGTTGGGGTGATGGTTTGGGGATAAACCAGTCAGCATCCCTGTGAAAATCTGTGGGACAAGTTACAAACTTTGGCAAAAACCATTGTGGTTTGTGTAGACTCAATAGGGATTGCTGGAGCCTGGGACTGAACAGGACTCTCCCTGAAACTGTAGTTCTTGGCTGTGCTGGACCAGGCACTGTCCAGGCCCCAGTTTTGTAGCTAAGAACAGGGAGCCTGTCTCTCCTGTACTTGCAGTAAAGAAACACCTGCAGAAAAATAGCAGCAGGGAAAAGAAGGTTGTTGCCCGATTTGAATGCAAAAAATGCGAAGAGAAGGAATAGAGTGGCACAGGAGTCCTGGGAACTGTGAAGGAGAAAGGAGATTGGAAAGCAAACAGAAGTGGAAGAGGGGAGGAAGGCTGAAAAAGGAGGGACTTGTTGAGTGAGGAAGCTAGTGCTGGAAAATGAAGGAGGAAGAGAGGCACAGCTAGTGAGAAGCTAAGGAGCACAATGGTGGGTGAGAAGTGAAAACAGCACAACAAGACAGTGGGCAGCAAAGGGGCTACAAAGTCAGCGAAAACCAGAATCTGATGATACAATTAAGGGCTGACTGCATCATAACACATGCATATAAATGGAGTCATTGGGTTGAAAAGATGGTGGTAGTCCTGTCACTTGGTAACCTTAGACAACAACATTACAATTTAAGCCTGTTTTTTCACCATTCTTCCTTTATTTGTAATAGGTAGGAGACCAACTGTACTAAGCCTTTGTTACGACTTAGCTATTAAATGATCAATCTAAGGACAAATGTGCACACAAACCAGTTCTGGTCTTCTCTAGGTTCTGGTTGCAGTGAACAGGCACTTGTAACAAAGTGCAGGTATGTCCTGGGCAGTGAACTTCATAATTTCACAAGGTCCAATACAGCACCCACAAAAATCAACAGTATTATCCTGTCTGTGACTTCAAGCCACATTCTGCACCCGTGAGGCTGTCTGGGAAAAATACTTCATAGCCACAGACTTAACAGCCTTTCTGCTAGTTTAGTCAGTAAAACCAGTATCCTACTGGGACTTTGGCTTCACATTCACATAGTTCTCATTAGCATCACTGGGTGCCAAGAACAAAGCTAATTCTAGCACATACTCCTGTCAAAGGTACTCTCCTCCAATTAAGCTCCAATCTGCTTCTGATGGGTGAAGGAACAAGACCTGTTCCTGTCCCACCTTTGGATAATAAAAAGACTTCCCCACCCCACCCCACCCCCCCCGCCATTACACACAACAGTCGTAAATGTGGCTTTCTGAAAAACATGGTAAGAAAACACAGAAAACCATTACAGCTCCTGCAGGACGTTGCCACCAATGCAAACTTTATTATAACCGTTTCTGAAAATCTTCTCTTTGCAAAAACCATTCCAACAAAATTATACACTGCTCTTACTGGCAACAAAACTGCTGGTTGAAGCTGTTACTGAAACTGGTGTGGTTTTTCAGAATGAGTTCTTAACAGGCAATTTCATTGTGTCCATGGGGTTCCAGATGGCTATTGATTATGTCTATATGATACATAATGCCACCATCATCTATTTTAAAGATTAAAAAAGAACGCAGACAGAAAACCTATGAATGCTGCCAGGCAGCACAGAAGGCCGAGGGCCCTCATTTCCAGAGAACGTGCCATATGGCAGTCAATATACCTGCCCTTATGCTGTACCACCAGCGGTTCCTGTTGTGAGTGAGGGAGTAATTCAGCTTCTGTTCTGAGGCAAATCTCGGCCTTTTTGCAGAAATGGCCAACAACAATGCCAGGTCTTTCTGCTAGCGCTCTCTCCATGGGAGTGACTGGGTTCATCAAAATGGCATTTTTAACAGGAAAATACACAACTCAAGCTTCTGGTCCCAAGTACAACATCATAGCACTGCAATATTAATAGGATCCAAGTGAGTTCCACTCAGCCTCAAAATGCGTGACGACCATGTTAAGCAGAAGGGCATTGAAACCCAGAGGTGAAAGACACATTTCTAGTCTCTCTTTCTCCACGTTTCTGATGAACTTTCTCAGAACACCACGTGGGGATTTCCTGCTGCCAAGGTTTCCTGGTCCCTGCCTAGTCATTTTAAGGAGGACTTGCAGTGTTGCTTACCCCATTTTCTTCTAGCGCTGCCAAGGGTTTATTAATGCTGTTGACAAACTTGTTGACATGCTCAAAGTGCTTTGTCATTTCTGTTGCTAAGACCATGTCAATAATGGCTTGGCGGAGGGTTCGATACTCATTCCTGCGTAAAGAAGGAAACAATTAAGAATGCTGGCTAGTTCACAAAGGGCTGCTTGCTAAAACAAGTCTAACAAAAATGCTACAGACCATTTCCGTTGAAGAGAAGTGCTGGGGGAGAAAGAACAGTAATAAAGGCTTGGACAGCTGCATCTCTGCTGAGTGAAGTACCCTTTGGTGTCAGAGACATATGTGCTAGAGGCATGACTGGTTGTCTAAGAGGAACAGTGCAAGAGCTGGTCAGAAGCAGAGGCACCAGCTACTCAGGAGGGCTGCCAGGACATGCCACAATGGGGTGTTCCCAAGGCTTTTAGCACAGACACTTGGCAGTGGCTCACACTCCAGCCAAGTTTTCAGCAATACTTTTCTGCTGTATCTTGAGAGGGGCTAAGGCAATGGTCACATCCTCACCCTAAATGCCTTTCTAGGGCTTTAAGAAGAACCACAGTTCCTCCACTATCCTCTGCATTGCAACAAGGCATTTAGTTTTTGACTGATGCTCTGTGACTCTTTCTATCCTTGTTCTACCCAGCAAACATCTACCCAATCAGCCATAGCTTGTCCTCTACATCCAATGATACAAAATTATTATTCTAGACTTGCTAACATCAGGATTTTCACTAAGTTCCTTAGATAGGGTCTACCTTTTTATCCACAGGAGGAACTGAAACCGTGGGGTTAGCCCTAAGTCTGTGCAGGACAGGCAGCAGCACTACTGTTTTAGAAGCAAACTTCCACAAAGGCTACAGACAGTTACCCACAAGGTGCTGCCTTCCTCTAGGATGCTTGTTTGCATTATCTTACATTACAGAGAAGAAAGTGAGAGATGTCAGTGGGCAGACAAGGACCCTGCGTTTTAAGCTTACCTCTCCATGTTTTTAAATATATTGCATTTGTCATCCCGGGTGGTGAGCTGGAAAGCCAGGGCAGCATGATGGCTCTCCAGCACTGCGGTGTCGTTGTAGAGAATTGCCAGCTCACTGCCAGCATTGCACAGGAAAGAATTTGTTCTTCCTGGGTGATCCACATCATGGACTGTGGCAGCAATGAGTGCAGCAACCTCATCAATTGGATCCAAAGTTTGCTGAAAATAGAAGGATGCTTAGTCTTCCTGGCAGACTCATTAGAAACCCTACTCTGTCCATAAGACTAAGCCAAGTTGCTGAGGAATAAAGGCCAGAACTCTGTAGATCAGTAAGGGTCAGATGTTCTAGACAGAGCAACGGAAAATTCATTATAAGCTTCAATGAGCACTGCATGATTTTTTTGGCCATTTTGTGCTGCTTGAATTTTGCCTTAGCCACACCTTTGACAAAACACATCAAATTAAACAAATGCAAAGTAATAAATTAGTGTGTGTTTTCTAACAACACAGAAACCACCTTCACTTGGAGTGAGGGTATTTGGCTTGGAAAAAAGACTAATACTGCTAAAAATTATTCTATTTCCACCAGACCCCTTCATTTCTTTTGGAAACTTAATGTGTCCTTATCACATTCCACTTACATGCTGGCTAGGTTTACAATTTGCAAGGAATGTTTCCCATGTATCTATTTTCATAACAACAGTGTCCTGCGGCTACAGCTAATATGAATTCTGTGAAGAATACTTGATGGTTTACATCCATGGAAAAATTACATGACACTCTGTTCTATACTTTCTGTGTCAGGTTCTGATTCTCTTAGCACATTGCACTCCATGCTTTACGTCTACTTGCATTGGTCATTACTTTATGTCTAATTATATATACTCTATAATGAAATACAAAGCTATCTGAATTTTAAGGTTTTAATACTGCATTAATAGCATAAAGGAGATAAAGAACCAAGCATCTCAGAAATATATTGTATAAATTTAGAAACTAGACTTTATGCTGTGTTTATGCTGGGTTTTTTTGTGAAGGATCACAGATACAGAACAATTATGTTAAAAATTTTCATAAAATGAAAGAGATGCAAGAGCAGAAACGTTCCCAGTTGGATCTGGGAGCAGGGCAGATAATTTGCTTTCCAATTAGCTTGAATTCAAGGTCCAAATACTCTACTGGCTTTGACAGTATCATTCAGAATGGTTAGACTTGGTAGGTGAAAAGAAAATCCCTACCCTACTTTACACCTCCTGAAAGTAATGCAGTGACTTGACTTTGGTGGACCTAGAATATTATTCATTGAGGACTGTCAAGAAGGTCTTGTAGACAACAAGAAAAGGCAAAGAATTATTTCTACTCTAGGTTCATAGTTAGCATTGTCTGAAATACCATCTACCATGTGTTAGCTTCTTCCTTCTTTCTTTCAGCTGCTGCTCATGGGATTCTATTTTTGTGGTACAAAGTTAGGAGAGAGAGATTTTTAGAACAGGCTCTCCTTAGAGAGACACACTGACCAGCGTTCAGTCTGGCTGAGAAAGACCTGTGCAGATGAGAAGTGGCCAAAAACTGGAGAATACATGACCTGTGGGACCACAGCAGTGTATGTCACGCTTATTTCCTGAGCCTGACATAACCAACTTTGCAGGGATTTACAGCACCTTTACCCCGACTTCAGGATTATAACTTCATCATCTTAACTCCTGTGGCACAGAAGTGGACACGATTCTGAGAATACTCGTGCAATTTGGGAGCCAGAAAATTTTCCCAGGCAAGAACCGAGTTCGATTTACTGAAAAAAAAAATATCTTCTCACTGTGAATTTGAGTGGCAGAATCTGGCCTTCTGTATTTAGATTAAGTTGAAGTCTGGACAATACAAAGGCAGTTGTGCTGTAACTTTGAAAACATAGAGAATTTCAAACTTTGATTCTGCTCCTGCAACATTTTTTTTCTCTTCCTATGCCTACAGAGGAATGGAAATAACATTCTGGAAAAGGAGGCGGCAGTCATGCTTCTGTGGTATTGAAATGAGTCCAGATCTTGTCTGTTTTTCGTAGGTATTCTTGGGAAGACCAGCAAATCAGGGGCTGAAAATATCCAGTGAAATTCTATTCTCACTTGGCGTATAGTATTTGTAAGTCAGCCTCTGGAGACCACACTAATGAGTTGCAGCTCCAGGTTAAGGGACTTACTACAGTTTTAATGAGCTGTCAGAAGCTTGTTTACAGTCACAAATGTCTCCGTCAGGTGCCCATCACTCGCAGTATCCTTAGGCAGGCCAATTCAGGGTAGAAATTTCTATCCAAAAATGCAACTCAGAAATAAGTACCACCACTCCACTGCATACACATGCAAGCACTGTTTTAATTCCCCTTCTCCAGTCTGCCCTCTAGGCACGTAAGAGCAAAGGTTGCTGTGATTTATTCTGGTTGTCAGTGGCTCTAATATGCCAGTGGGGGTTTCAACAAGAAATCTTTTTCAATACTCTCCTCCAATGCAGTCTTTTTAGGCCTAAGGGCATCTTGTCCAGTGGGTGATAAAGGTTTGGAAACACTAAACCTATTTTATAGCCTGTATTGTCCTGGGAGTCTTCTGCAAAATTACTATCACGAGGCATAAGAGATGGTGATTTATTACAGTAAATCTGTATTTGGCATCTACTGTCACAAAAATAATCGTGTCATTAGCTCACCTATCTGAGAAAGTTTAACTATATGAAGAAGTTTTGTTTTAAAAGGTTTTCTTATTCTCCCATCAAGAAACATTCAATTCCTGTAATATTAGAAACACAGAAACACAGAATGGTAGGGGTCAGGAGAGACCTCTCGAGCTCATCTAGTCCAACCCCCCTGCCAGAGCAGGGTCACCTACAACAAGTTGCACAGGACGGTGTCCAGGCAGGTTTTAAATGTCTCCAGAGTCACAGACTCCACCACCTCTCTGGGCAGCCTGTGCCAGTGCTCTACCACCCTCAAAGTAAAGAAGTCCCTCCTCATGTTGAGATGGAACTTCCTATGTTCAAGTTTGTGCCTGTTACCTCTTGTCCTATCACTGGGCACCACTGAAAAAAGACTGGTCCCATCCTCCTGGCACCCTCCCTTTAAGTATTTATAAACATATATACTGTAAGAGAGATCCTAGAACTGATGTAAAGCAGGCAAGTTCTTTGACCTCGGAGTTACTAAACTGGTTGGCACTAGGTAGACATTTGGCTCTTGGCACCTTTTTTTGGGAGATCTTTCTTTGATCACACCTGTACTTCCCACCTACGCCGTTTCTTATAAATGTGGACTCACCTTTACTCTTTCTTTAGACAAGAAATAAGCAGTGGCATGTAGTACATCTGCTGAATGAGTAGAATTATGGTAGGAGTTGGAGGAGTGATAGTTAGCTTCAATAACTTGTAACCACGACCTCAGAGTTGATTCTGAACAATTTAAGAATTCACAGATTCCAAAGCGAGCAAATATTTTGAGACCCAGATAAACCAAAGGCCTGTGGAGAAAAACAAACACAAAGTTTTAAAATAAATGAAGTTGAAAGAATATTACATAGCATAAATAGTATGAATCTATACAGCATTTTTAACCAATGACATGTCAGATTAGGTATAAGGACTTGTTGTCCAGACCAGCAGAAATGTTCTGCCTACCCATCACATGCACACGCTCAGAATCAACGCCAGTTCCTGACACTTCCAGGAGTATTAAAAAGGCTCTGTATTGCTGCTGCACTACATGTAGCAGTATTTTGGGGCTTAGGGAATGTATGTTGGATAAATGTAGACTACAGTCAAAATGAGATAAATTAGCAAGTACTGAACTCTGTGCATGAGAGGAGGGAGGCAATCTTGCTGCTGCCACAGATTCCTAAACTAGCTTGTTTACAGTTAGACTAAGTATATCTATACTACACAGTGCTGCAATCGCTATTCTTTCTGCACTCTAGATCGGCTCCATTTCTTTTATGCCCACCCTTGCAGGCTTCCATTGCTCATTGACTTTGCATGCAACAGAGAGTGAGAGATGGATGTATTCTGGAAGCAAATGACCAGGCCAGACCATGCCATTTCTACAAGACTATAAAGGCCACATGAACTTTCAGGCTAATCCAGCCGGAGACCTGTCTCCAAAACCAGCCAGCATCATCGTATTCCAGCACTCTTGCTTCTCCCAGGTCAAACCGCACAATTTAAACCCAGATGACTGGCAGCTGAATGAAGATCAGAACAGCAGTACAGAATATTTCTAATCTGAAAGCTGTGAAAGTGCAATCTGTTTAATAGGGCAAATGAAAAAGAATCAAGTTTTAGTCCACTAGCCTTTTTTCGAATACAGTTAATACAGCTGTTTTCTTGGCCAAAACATTTTTTGCTTAAGAACAGGTATAGTGGTAAATATTTTCAAATATGGATTCTTAAAAATAGATCTTAAACCTTCATTTTGGCATCTTACTTTGCTGCTTGATTCCAGGTGCATCAAGCACTCTGATTTCTAGCTGCACCTGACAGGTGAGGAGAGCTCATTTAGAGTTGCTGAGGTCATTTAGAGTTAGATGTACAACTTTTGGCAAAAGCAGTCAACAATACTGTGTCATATATGAGAATAAAAATACACTAAAGTTAAATACCCTCCACATAGCACTGTCAGACAAAGGTCTCTCCAGGTTTCTGTGTCAGGGAACCGTAATGCACTAAAGCTTAGATTTAATGAATTATCTTGGCTTTACTACCATATGTCTGCTTGGACTTGAAGACAATACTAATAACATATTCATAGTTGTGATTCATTGAACATCACTTTAATTCTCTTAATAAATGAATTGCCTTTACTTAAGCACAGCAGGAAGCAATGATAATTATAATACCTTCAATAAGTGAACAGGCAACAAAATACCTTCTTTGTCCCTCTGCGGTCTCTCCAAATCAATAAGAACAGAGAAACCTATCTGGTGATCTCATGCACGCTGGCTGGGATAATTAATTTGTAAGTTACTGCAATGTGCGTATTAAATATAAATCACACAGACTGACAACATTTTAACTTCTTTTTTAATTGCTGTAGCTATAGCACTTCTTTAGAAATGGAAATGTAACAAAGCAAAAAAACCCGAAAGTAACTGGATGTAAATTTCTTCACTTACAATAAAATCACTTTAAAGAAGAATAAAAACCCAAATTTTTCCACTTTTTTTTGGCTCATAAATATGGTCTGAAAATGAAGTGCATATATGTTAACTAAATGCCTGATATCTTTCTTAGACATTGTTTCTGAACACCTTTTAAAGCTCTTATGGATCTGGGATTTTGACGAGGGCTTAAGATAGTCAATTAATTGCAGGATCTAGCCTCCAAATTAGTGTCTCATAAGAAGCTTTACGCTAAGACAAAGCACGATACATGAAACTAGACCCAAAGGAGAACTTTTGATAGGCATCAGCAAATAAAAAACAGGATTTAAACAGAAAGATCAATTTACAGTCTTAGTTGGAGCATTTGCCACTAATGAAATACAGTCTATCAGAACTGCGTTTGAAAACTTCAGTGATGGAAATTGGTATGCCCTACTTTTTATCAGTAAATATTCTTCAGTTAATCTTATACATAAAATGTAGCCTGCCGAGATTTTAGAATAAAGACCTTCCTCTAATCCCAGAGAAAGAAAATAGTAATTCTGCTGAAAAGCTGTATTTGAACTGTTTAGGAATAAAAATTACCCAACTACATGGAGAGAAAATCAAACATGATCTGTGTCAACTGATCAAATTAAGACCAGCATGTTGACTCTGTGTGTAGTTGGCCATAATTTGAATCCCCACAAGACAACAATTTGATTTGTAGAACGTTTCTATTATTGAGAACAGAAAAGGAAGGCTTTTAAAATGATGTTGTTTTGTTATTGTACCATATCAAAGATATATAATCTTCACTTACATCCACTGGGAATCTGCAGGAAATAGCATATGATGAAACAGAAGATATTTAATGGGTTCATACACAACTAGAAATGACAATGAAAATATTTCAAACATTTGATTTTGAAAATAAAAGTAATTCTCTTTTAAAAGCACAGGTAGAGAAATCAAAGAGCTGATTACAGAATGACATTTAAGTCAGTTTTCAGCATCTTCAATTTATGAGCTCTTCTGTTTACTGACCTTTTATGGGTGGCAGCCTCAAGTTCAAAGATATCAAAATCCCAGTGTTCCTCATTTTCCATTGCCTGTGTTATCCGTGGGGGTATGTCATTGAGGGAGATTGGAGATATCAAACTGCCAGCGACCTGATGAGTTTCTGTTGAGGAATGTATTTGCAGATCACTATTAATAACCCTGAGATAGACTTTTACTTAATGTACATGTTTTCTTTTGTGTAGTAAAGCCTGGCAACTCTCATTTCTATAAAGCTCAGTAATGCTGCAGAACAATGCTTGTACATAAAATAAAACAAAACCAAACAATACTTATAGAAAAGAACATCTGATCACATTTCCTCTGTTTCTTAAATTTAACATGTTTTAATATCTCAGTAACCGCCAAATTAAAACTTACGTTTTGCTGACAATATGTATTCGTTCCCTGATAATCTTCGTAAACCATCCTGTTCAATAAAAGTTGAGAGTTAAATGCAGGGTATTGTACAAACAGTCTATAAGATGATGACACCGAATAGTAGCACAATGACTTCAGAGAAGCCTGACTGTAACCTGTCACAGTCATCAAGGCTGCCTCTCCCTTCTTTGTGTGTACTGTTAAGATTTGTCTGGTTTACGTATAGTTGATAAAGGATGAGAAACTGCAAGATATGGGATACACGATAACCTCAGATAGGTACAAACTCAAATTTCTCAGGTGCAGATGGAGGTCTGGATTTACAGCCTCACATCACTCTTTGTCTGGACAACAGAGACACAGGTTCTGGATGTGTGCTGCAGCCAGACGCGGTATGTCCACATCCCATCAACAAGCAAAAGTGGGTGGCGGGAGGGGATGGATGGAGACACGCTTCTGCTCTGCTCCCCCTGGTATTGGCAGATCAGGTCACCTCAGCAGCATAACAATCTCATGATTTGTGGCTGGGACTGCAGTGACAAATTACTCCGAAGCCTCCCTTCCATCAAGAAGAACGTATGCTTGTTTATTCTCCAACTCGGTGCCTCCTAGGCTTAATTCTGGCATGATGCCGAGATGCGCAAACTGAGACAAAGGATTAAAGCTAAGAGAATGATATATTTAATATTTACTTTTCAGCTCATAATTCTAAATGCTGTGGCCCAAATCCTACTTGCTCTTTTGGTGTATATAGCTGTTAGTTACTGCACATTATTAAAAAAAAATATCTTTCTGAATGCACCTTACTAAAAATGTTATGCATCCAAAGTATAGCATAAGTGAATGTGCATGCTATATCTCAACATGCAATGTCTGTGCTTAAAAAAAATTGTTACATCTCATTTTTATTTTCACGCTTGTAGGTAAATTAGTCTGGAGTTTTGTCATTTAAAAGGAAAGGGAGTACAACTCCTATAACTGGCTCAGTGACTCTTCAATAGAACCGCTATAACACAAATATTTAGGACACCAGATGCTGTGCATCATTTAGAATCAAAGATTAGTTTTTTAAGAGTTGAAATAGCAGGTGTAATTGTATCTGGCAAATCCATCTTTGAACTCCAAATGTCCTTCCCATCATGAATTCTGCTTGAGAGTTCAAATCCAATAACCTACTTGTTCCCTACTCAAACATAACTTCTGAACATGAAATAGAATAATATGATTCTGCTTTCAGCAGACCCTTTGCTGGAAAAATGTTCCTCCCAGATCATTTTAAAACTCAGAATATACCATATAACCTCATGCTCTGAAATGGATTTTCTCAGCTTTTCTATCGCTCCATAAAATAGCGTTTAGTTTTATTTTTAGCAAGGATTTTGTGTTCTGCAATATTGTTACCTACATGTTCTGAGACCATGAACTGCATACAGTCAGAATACAAATGTATGTAAGAATCAACAGTCCACAACAAGGAGAAAACAGCTGAGTTTAATAAAAGATTAACTTTGAGACTCTAATGAGATTAACTTTGAGACTCTAATGATTATATGTATCAATATTCTTCCTATATTTTTATAGTTAAGGTAATGATATATTTTGTCTACTGAGTTAGTACATTCAACCCTATAAGAACCATTCAGGTCTTCTCCTGGAATTCTTGAAGACTCTCATGCATTTCTCCTGAATAGATATTTGCTGCAGTATTTTAAACGGCAAAAATATATGTAAACTGTTTAAACATTCTGATGGATTCTGCAAAGGCATCTTGATAGTTACAGCATGAAATGATAATAGCCCAGAGACATCTCCGAAAAGCTCACATCTTGTGAGCCTTTTTGCATCCAACACTGCCAAATTTTTTCTTAAGGTAGCCTTTTATATGCAACCTACAAACTAATGGGAACACATATCCTTAAGGCACAGGTAACATTCATCCAAGTTCATCTAGTTATTATCAGGAGGGTCAGACTCTAGGCTCTGAAGGTTTGGGTTCAGTTCTTTCTGTGCTATGTGCCCTTTGTTCAACTTCGGGTACAATGCTGCTTTTTCCAATGCCCCTGTTCCTCCTTTCATAACATAACAACATAATACATGCCTTCAGTCTTTTTGTTGTCTTATTTATTTAAATTATGAGTTCTGTGGAGGCATGATTGTGTTTTAATATGTGAACATTCACGTTTCGAGCTCAGATCACTCTGATCTTTCCATGGGTCTCTACAGGTACAAATATAATACAAGAAATAGCAATAAAAATACATATTTTGCAATCGCTTGAAAACACATTCTTTCTGTACACTGAAAAGCCCCCAAAACACACCATGTTAATCCTAATTAAGAAATACAAGTGTCTAGCTATCTTTCTGTCTTCTTCTCCCATCTATACCTTTCTAACATGAATCACATTGAAAAAAGAATTGGTTTTCCTTTCCATTTCTAGCAAAACTAATGCTTCAAAAGGACTGGTCAATTTTCTTCCCATTTCCAGAACTACATTATAAATGTAGGGGGAAAAAATCCATCAGAAGAAGTGTGCAGCTTTTCCTGAAACTTTGGCATTGTAGAGGTAAAGCACATGCCAGACGATAAAGATCAAGTAACCGGGAAAATCAGGCAGTGGAACACTAATCAATAGCTGTTTGCTGGCAGCATGTACTTACTGTCATTAACCCTCCAACGAGGTCACTGGTATGTGGATCCTCATCTTTTGTCCCCAGTTGTGGAGAGTACAATTCAGTGGTTCTTAAAATCTCCAGCACACGGTCTAAAGCTTCTGCAACTGGCATGGGACTGCTTTCTTGTGCAGCGTTGATGATGTTTATTACCTAGTTTAGCATTAGACATGTTTTGAATTTAGAAGTGACTTAAGAAAGAACAGAGATGTTCATCCATTACTATGGAAAACTCATAGGGAATAAATGAGATCTACAACTTTAATCCACATGGGGGAGAACCAAAATGAAAGGGATGTTAATAAAACACTGATGTTTGCTACTGACTCTGGGAACAAGATCGTGGCCTTAAAGACAGCAGTCTTATTAATGATTTTCCCGTTCAAGGCACAGCCTCAAAATGTCTCTGAATGGATTTAACATAACCTTCTCCCATTTGCCTCTCAATTTATTAAAGAGCTGATTTCTGCCAAATGCTTGAATGGTTTTAGAAGGCAGTTTGCAATGCGTAAGTAAGAAGGAGGAACTCTCAGTCCCTCCTTCACGTAGGCAAGTGTCCTTAGAAAGGGTCATGCAATGGCTGACCACATGGAAGGCACTCTACTAAGCACACTTGGGATAACTTTGTTCAGAGCAGGTGCCTTTTGGAGCTCCACCGGTGGGCAAGTGGAGCGGGGGAAGAAGTTGCACCAGAGGCCAGGCTGCCTTGCTCCGCGGTCTGGATGCTGTATGGGAGCCTCGTGCCCCAGTATTCCAGTAGAGTACAGCACAACTGACAACAGCTAGCGACAGTGCACATTACCTTGGTGATGGGTGCTTCAATAGTCATGGAATGTATCCTGGCCATAGAAGAGTGCCGCCTTTGTGAGCTGCCTGTGTGGAAAATAAAGCAGAATTTGTATCCTGATTTCAGCGACAAGGCATGACAGGAGGATCCAGCCAAGAAATCTTGATTCATTTTCTGAACTGCTTACCCTGCTGTGCCCTTCAGAGCCAATCTACTGCAGAACGCATACACATGCTTGTTATGCTGGGGGGACACAGGTGCAAAGAGATGCTTGCTGAACCACTGATACCCCTGATTAGAGATAAGTAGCTGTAACAGCCTGGCAAAACCATAGCTTTGTTATTTTATTTTAACTAAGTAAAATATTAAATTAAAAACTCAGTTAAAAGACTATACAGATGTACGTGTGTATAAAGTGGCAGGCACAGGTAGGTAACTATTGCGCTTAGGTTATTACAGAATATATCTACTTTTGCTGCCTGATGCAACATGACAAGTCATAATGAGTCAGCTTCCAAGCTGAGGTAAATCAGTGAAGCTCCTTTGAAGTAAAGATAGCTATGCCAAATTAAAACAGCAGAGGTTCTGGCCTATTATTCATTGGAAATTTAAAAAACAAATGTTTTATATCAGCTGGCAATTTTGGTTCTGTAGAGAAAAGGCCAAGATGGGATTTTTCTGGATAATTATGTTATGCTACCTATAAAATGCAGAAACATCTCTGTTACTCTTCGTGCTGAGCAGCTCTTAAGAACAAGAATCAATGCTATTTTTGCTATACTGGAGTAGGATTGTATTCTTGCTGCCACAGACCTACTTCCGTGTTTCACTAGTGTACGCTGCCTAGACTAATGACATATGCTTTAACAAAATCACTTAAGTATCAGCAAAAGTTTTGAATATGTGGCTCATCTACCAAGTTTGGGGTGATCTAATAGAACAAAATACAGCACAGTGAAAAGAAAACAAAATTTGTAAGAAAATTATCTTAGTATTTTTATCAAGAGGTAAGAAATGTAATAATTTGTTAGGTTTAGAGTTTGCCATTTGTACTTGAAAATATCTGTGTTGAATCTCATGAGGTCTTCCATGCAGAATGGCAGACGATAGCCTTTCATTCTGCATTGGTTCAAAAAAAAAGACTCAAAGTAGTTCAAGAGAAGAAAATGGGGCTATGACAAATGTAAAGTTGCTCATTAATTAGACTTGATATTTTATTTCTGTGTGTGTACATGTATATATACACGTACATACTTACCTATATTTGTATGTGCATGTATGTATGCACACAAAAATCTGCATATATCTAGAAATCATAAAAATTTACTTATTTAACATACCATCGCTCCCTCGTGATGTTGTGGATCTGACATCTAGTGATCCTTTCCTCCTGTCTTTGTGTCTGCAAGTCTGAATATCTGTGGAGAAAATGATAGTGTATAATGACACTAAGTTGTGCCTAAAATGTATGTTAAAGGAACTGAAACTCAGAGGAAGCCTGGTAGTAGCTGAGTGACATTTACCACATTGCTTCAGCAGATGAGAGCCAATGAAAGGTCCCTTTTGAACTCCCAACATTCACACTGTTGTGAACCCAGTCATGCTCCCTGGCAGAACATGCCTGTTTTTGCAGAAGGGATCTAACAGTGTGGAGGGAAAAGTTCCTCTCTTGACACAGTGACACAATTGTAGTTGTGAATACAACTTGTGCCGCACCCCTGAGTTCACTCAAGGAACAACTGCCACAAGGAACTGGTGGACCAAAGCAGACTACACACTTGCAAACCAGGCATTGTACCCTATGTCCCTTACGGGCTCCAACAGACACAAACTGTGCTACCAAGGCTACAATTAACAAGTACTCGCAGCACGGATGCCACGGATGTCTTAATTGAGGTGTTGATTTGTGGGATGAGGGTGAATGAGGATGTTGGTCATCCTCATTTCCACCCACATGCAAATACCCCACAATACAGTTAAAGGCAATGCAACCACACATGCCACTAGCTATAGACCAGCCACAGCAACATGACGACTACACGGCATCCTTCTTATTTCTAATTTTGTCTCGGGGATCCACTACCTGCAACTGAAGTGTGGCACTGTATCCAGCAATACACAGTACCAACTTGGGGCCCTATTACTGTGTTTTCATGGGTGGGTTGCTTTGTATTGCTTCTAAAACAAATGAGGGAGGTAGAGAGGGCCTGTATTTATTTTCCTGCCTTTTGAGCTGATTCCCAGCTTATCGCTAGCTGAATAGTACTGTTCAGACCGTCCTGCGCAACTGTGGTTTTCAGTCAGATCACTAACAATGGGCTTTATTCTTTCCCCAGGTACGGAAGGAGAGATGTGTCATACCCGTCTGAGATTCAGCCTGAACACGTTCACATGTCTTCTCCACCTACAAATCAGGATAAGAAATCCAGTTAGTCAGAACTTTCCCATTATTTTGTAATATTTAGGGCTCAAACTAAAGCAAGCATAGCACTATTTTCACTTACCTTATTGTTGTCATTGCACAGTCTACTAATTGACACATAGTGTCTAATCTTTCTGTAGGCAAAAAACAGCGTGTTAATTCCCATCCAAACCTCAGCTGTAATTCAGTGCTGATACACAAAATGGGTAAGAGCAACAAATTAATATAGGACAAATCCTGTTCTGGCAGTAAGGCTCAACTGGGAATGGAAAAACCCCTCAGTTCTGTACGTGCTGGAGAATGCAAAATGGAAGCATCTTTTGCAACGACTGTCTCCTCCTCTCTCTGCCCCACCCCCAGCTTCTTCTGGGCTACTGGAGGATGTTTCAGGCATGATATAAATGCAAAACATGCAACAGTGCAGTCTGACAATCAAAACCTGCTATCGGATTTAGGGATAGAGCAATCAAACTGAAAACTACACCCTTGATTACCAGGGAACATTCTAAGCCAGCTTCAAATGGACTTAGACTGTTCCATAAGTAGCAATGTATGTAATACATATTGGTCTTACAAGTTTGGCATCTTAAGCTGAAAATATGTTTTCACTCTACTGATGGAGAGTAGAGAATAGGAATTACTTCCAGGGATGAAATCAACCCAAACCACCTTTTTTAGGAAGTAACTGCACAAAGCAGCTGCATTTGGCCTTTCCTTCATAAAGACACACCTTTCTAAACAATTGTCTCAGCCAAATCTGGAAGATAACGTTCCCTGCTTTTAATTAATGTTTGTGTTGCCTTAGAGGGCTTTGAAACTACTACTGCACTCAATCTGGTCCACTTTCTTTCCTAATATAGTATAGAAGGAGTCATCATAAATGTACCAGTAACTAACATTAAACTGTGTGCTCCGAATGCTCTATTTGGGGACCAATTAGAAGTTGCATAAAAATCAAGACATGCTTGAATTTTCACCAGGATCAAAGCACACAGTGACCTCATCACAGAAAGACACTCGGCAAAGCCATCACTTGGTGATCATGGAGGGACATGGCAGAGGTGCACCGTGGAACAGGACATAGGTCCTGGTGGTGCCAACACAACGCACAGGAAGAGCAGAGGGTGCACTCACGCTTCAGGGAGTATTAGAAGAGTAAGAGTCACAAGTGAGCACACCTGGATCTTTGGCTCCTTTTTGGGGAGAATTAGGAGAATTTCACTTTCCTGCACACAGCACGTAAAATTGATTTTGCCCCAAGGAATTAAATGCAGAGGTCTGAGGCTCCCTTCCTTGCATAAGTTTCCGTTATACTCAGTAACAGGATAATCCAATCTCTGCTGAAAGTTGAACTCTAAACTAAGCCTCGATTCAGACCTAAAACATGGCTTTAGCTTTCATACTTACCCTCCCTGTCCGACGACAGGTAGTATCTTCACATTTTGTTGTATGCTATCTCCATTTTTCTTTTTCGCATAGTACATTCCTTGCCATTCCTGAAAAAGGAATTCAAGTGGGAGGAAGCTCAGATAAAACAGGAAGAGAAGCTGTAGCTTCATATGTTTTTTCATTGAAAACTGTCTTACAATACAAAACAAGTCAGGACTGGTTAAACTGTGCCTACCCTCAAGTTTCTCCCCTGTAACTAACCTGTCGGTCACTGTGATGCTGCCAATGCACGGAGAACTTCCAGAGGGGCAGCCTGTCAGTGCTCTGACAGCAAGAGCCGAACCTCAGGTGCTGTGGGAATCAGAACCACGTGTTCTCTTCCCAATCCTACACCAATGGCGCTGGGGGTCACTGAGCAGAGCTGGGAAAGACCTCTGCAACAGTGAGAGCTCGGACCAGCCCCTGCCTGGAGCGAGAGTCCCCCAGAGGCTCCAGGAGCTCCTGCAGGCTCTAAGAGTGGGGGGCACCCCTCACCCTGCCCCAGGACACGCACCGCACGGCTGGGACCGCTATGCTGACCTGCCTGCCTTTCTCCCTGACTGCACTGGCTCCTCCCAGGACAGGAAGGTCGGTGAGAAACCATTATGCCGACCTGTCCACCTTCGCTTCTGGACTGCACGGTCTCTCCCACAGAGTTCAGAAGTCCTATCGCTGCTTAACATTAAATGCATCTGTGACTAAAAGCACTTTGGTGTCCTAGTACATTTGCTTTCCACACTGTCAGTTCAGTCTCAAAAAGCGGCAGAGATTTATCCTGGCTTTTTTAAAGCAAAAGAGAGCCTAGTAGAATCGCTACTGGATTCTGCTTCCCATCTGCTGACTTCCCCTCTCAAAGCATTCTGGTTTGAGGATCACATTTAAGCAGACAATTTTTGAAGTACCAGATTGGCACTGCTGGTATCATTGTTTTTTGATAAAATTCATAAATGGGGAAAAAAAAGGAGTGGAAAGGAGTTGTTCATTTTGCAGTGAGAAGTCTTTTTTTTTTTCCTCTGGAAATCAGACATTTCTTTCTAGTGCAGAGCCTCATTTTCTCTTTCAGTGAGACTCAGGAAATGTCCCTTCTCCCTTGTTTAAGACATGCTTTTAAATGAGATACTGTTAAAACAATCACTTTTGTTATTTAGAGATTTAAAATCCAGAAGGCCCCACCATGGTCTAACACCCAGCCCCAGACCACCTCCCTGCAGCGGAGCCCCCACCCGCGCTGAGAAGCAGGAGAGCTCCCACGCCGACGCATGCCGACACAGCCGAACGCGGCTCTGGCACATGCCGGGGCATCGGCCCCTTACCTGCTGCTGCCTCCCCACTCCCTCACCACGCTGCTCCTGCTTCTCAAACTGTGCTACAAATACCACAGCAAAGACATACACCACAACACTGACGGACCTCCCCGGGTCTCCCCTTGCGTGCGGTGCCTGGACTAGAGTTGCCTCCTCACAGGGGTATTTAGGAAAACTCAGGGAAAGCAAAATTTGGGAACCCTGGGTCTCCCCCTTTCATTTCTGGCAGCAGCGCAGAGGCCCGTAACCTTCCAACAGAGCCGGCCCTTTGTAATTTGGCAGCTGACAAGATTTACAATCTTCCCTGCACGTTTCCATCCCTAAGATACTTCGTGGTGGTGTTTTTTAATAGATGTGTATTTTGAGCTGGGCATCTAATAAATACCAAGTGATTAACAAATAATTGCTTCCATATTGCACATTCACTTAATACAAACTACCTATGCCAATTGCTGTCTTTCACTTCAACAGACTTTAGACCAGATCTTACAAACGTATGTGAAAATACCTCCATGAGGCACATGACAGATATTTATTTATGTTAGACTGACAGATCTCGCAGTCAAGCAGGCCACAGCACAGGTAGAGAAAGAACAGTTCTGCATTTATGTTGATGGAGCCAGCAAATAAAGACTCCAGCCCGCAGAGAGCTGCACGGTGACAGGCTGTGCAGAAAAAAATATGAAAGGCTTTTCCAAGGATCTGTCGGAGAAAAGAACTGTGCATAACAAATTGGGAAGCAAGCATAATATCTTCTTCTGTGAGCTGCATGAGGAATACAAATGAAGATAAAGCAAACATCACAAAATTCAATGCTCTTATAATTAAAAGTATGCATATCAATAGTTTCCTGACAACCAGGATGAGGCAGAGACGAGTAATCGATCTCTAACTCAGGTAATAAACCCGGAATGTGTACAAAGAAGCGAAGTCATGAGGTACAGATTGGAAAATTCTCGCATTGAAAGTGCATCCTTTTCAAGACAGGTTATTCACTAATGTGTTCTTAGTCAACAGATCGATTTTTCAACTTGCGAATTTCTAAAACCTGTGAAGCCGTGGCAGGAAATGTGCGAGGGAAAAGGTCAGCAGGATTCTGAGAAATAGGAGGTCCAAGCCAAACTCCTGCTGGTAGGTAAGGTTCTCCCAGGGATGTTACTTAAACATATTTTAAGAACACCATATGCTCTCTCACAGCGCCTCTGTCAGCAATCCAACAGAGAAGAGCTACTTCACAAGACGTGCTGTCAGTCACCGTTATGTCTCCATTACAGCCGCACAAGTACAGGGATCAGTCACTTCTGCACAGCCTGGCGTGCTGGGATCGAATGCAGAGTAAAAACCATACGCAGTAAGAAAAACCGGCTTCACCCTTTATAGAGTGAATCAACGCTGAGGTTTCAAACGTCATTAAGGTGGCCATGGCCGTGCATCTGCCTGCTGAGCACCCGCACGCGCCCAGTAAGGAATCCCCCAATTCAGCCTTCCCTTTGGACTGGGGCTTCTTGCCCTAGACAGCGAAGTTCAGCAAGCTACATGTAGAAACAGAGCAAATCAAAATAAACACAAAACAACCTCACAGAAAGTAAGGCCGAGTTAGGAAGGAATTGCACAGACTTTTATCACAGAGCTCGATGGCTCTCCCACCCCCTCTGCAAAGACAGCTGTCTTGCAAATAATTTGCAGGGAGGGAGAGGAATTGCATGTCCCGTCTGATTTATCAATAGCTGTCCATCTCAGTTCAGAAAAAGCAAAACTGAGATAAAGAGCTTTGTGTCAAACTGCAGAGATCAGAGGCAGCAAGGATTCTAGGCAGAATTGCACATTTCATCTTAATGGATGTAATTTGAATCACGAAACAGAAGAATGAAGAAAGTACAACTTGTTTTTTAAGTCCTCAAGTATGGATGGGTGAAAATGCCTTTCAATAACGCTGGCTTGCAAATTGCAGCCAGCTGTAGTAACAAAAAATGTACTTCCAGACTTTTTTTTTTGGCTAAGAGAAACAACATCCTGACCCAAGAATCCCTATGTAACATGCAATTAGCAATTTTTGTGTATAATGCCTATGAACTTTTGTTCGGATGTACTGAACTTGCTCACAGCGCTGTTTGTCAGCACAAGAGGGGAAATGCTGCAAGAGTTCATCTCACTAAATACCATTTAAAGACTAGAGGTAGATTTTGTACAGCTTACATTTTTCTAAAGATCAGAAAACCTTCCCTTCTATTATTTTTGTTGTATTACCATGTTTGTTCAAAACAGAAAAGCCAAATCTGTTGACAGGAGAATATGGTAGTAGACAGTTGGCTTTTTGGTGTGCTATAACCTACAGTAGCCAATATATAGCCTATTGTGATGGGAAGCAGTCTTTAAAATTCAGGATACAAAAAAAATCACAAGTCTGCAAACTACATACGGACCATCTCAGAATGATCCAGACACAAGTTAGGCACCTCCGAAAATGCTGTAACATCTCGACACGAATGATTTCAAACTAAAGCACCTCCAAAGGGCTGCAGCATTTCAAAGGTTGCTCTGCACAGTTAACTTCTACTCACAAATACTTCCTGTAAGAATTTAATTTGCAATTCATTTTTCTATTAGTATGTAAATATAAGGCTACATAGATTGCATTCTATAAAATGTTCCAAAGGGAAATACAAAAAACAGAACATATCCACCTAAAACAGCTTAAGCTGTTTCAGACAGACAGGTTTAAATAAGTGGTATTTCATTAGCCCTCACGGTTGGAAGCCCTAGAGGCAGGAGTAAAATAAGTGCAAAGAAAGAGATGGATTAGGGTTAGATTTCTATCATTCATAGAGTAAAATATATTTCCGTTATTAAAGAAATTTTTATCAGCACACTAAAATATTAAAAATGTGATCACTTCATATCTCGAGAATTGATGTTGTGGATTTAAAGCTGACACGTCTAATGGATCTGAATTATAACTGAATAAATACTCCCTCATAACATCAGTTTTGTATTACACGTTTACTGAAATAATTTCGGTCAGGCATCAGAGGCGTGAAGCACCATAATCCCAGCTATTGTCTGTTGCTGGGATCTCTTCCAAAAGGCCAATACAAGCAGAAACGAGTGACACATTCTTGTTGAAATGCACATGCAATCGGCACCCAGCTAGAGTGCAGCTTTTGTTGATGAATGCTTGTGTTAGTACCCTGATTTACACGGTATGACTCATCACAACCTTGCATCGGTGCTTTCGCATCACTGCCTGGATACACAGAGCGCCATGATTCATTCTAGCATCTCGCTGCTCCGTGTCAGTAACGTGGAGCTTCCCTGCAGTCAGGATGACCCAACCAGCTACCCTGACTCAGGTCTGAGCACGGGCCGTGACGCAGCTACAAACACACCAATTCCCAAATCTCTTTGTGTTACCTCCATGATCTTCTGCCTATAAGGTACTATGACACGTTCAATGACATCAGAAGCATGTACACCTCATTGTCAACATGCAAATGAAAGCCCCTAGATGGATCCTCACATTACTGCCACAACAGTCCCAAAGGACCACCGTGGAGCTACCAGGCAAACCGCAATGTCTCTGCAAGACCTCCCTTGAAGCCAGCTGCACTGCCTCCTGCGCTTTCTTGGTGCAACACACGTTTCTAATGGAAATCCATTAGACAGCTCCCATGTCGTCAGAGAATAAGAGATATCGGCAGCTGACACTGCTGATGACTCGCAAATGTCTACTCTTGATATTTTTACATTCTAAACTTGCAAATCAGCTTTCGCATTTCAGGCTGAAATGCTCCGTGGTTCTTTTCTCATTTGCATCACACTGGATAACATGTGCATCCAACCTATTTCTCTTTGGCATTCCCACACCTTTTACTGCCTACAGCATGTATTATAAAGAAACACAGCAAGTCACTTATTTTCATAAAACGTGTACCTCTTCCAAGCAAGAAAAGAGAAATAAGCCCTTAAAAATGAGCGTTTTTTACTTCCTCTTCTTGTTTGAACAAGAAAGCTGCAAATGCTATGTGTCTGTGAAGCTGCAAGTTACATCATGTGTCATCCCTAGACAATAATAACTTTTACAGGCAGGAAATGATAAGTGATATAATGCCATTACTCACCTTTCCTATCTTTATGCAAGAATTAATAGTATCTAGGAAATCAGCTTTTTTTTCATTTATAGGCACTTCTGTTAATTCCTTTCCTATTAGTTCACCTATTTGATAGCCCATCACTGTTTCAAAAGCAGGATTGACGTACTGTGAAATAAAAACAAACAAAAAACCATTCAACAGAATACTTAAAGCACAACAGAATCCCTTTTTTTTCCTATTTGCTAAGGCAAGGGATCTCTTTCACAGCCTGAAATAGATATCTGTATGTATTGCTCCTGAGAGAGATGCCTACACATTTTTCTTTGTGAAGCAAAACAGGAATGTCCATGCTAGAAGAGCTGTGTAGAGTATGTGCATTTGGGTAAAGAGAGGGAAATGATGGAAACAGCTGAGTATTACATATCCACAGAGTTTATACAGACAACATAAATTCCTGAAAAATGAGCTCTGTCAGCTCTCAAACCTGTGAATCTCAAACCTACCTCAGTGTTCCTAAAAATCACAAATCAGATGGTGGGATACCATAGGAATGTTTACCTCATCTACTGACAAATTCATCATATTATTGTGTGTAAGGGCCAACCATCACTATTGCCCTGTCCAGGCCAAGCCCAGCCAAGCAGACTGGAAGAAGAGAAATCTAATAGAGCAACTTTCTCTCTGAACTGAATGTTGCGTTTTGCTGCAGCTCTGTGGCCCTTGCCCTACAAAACTGAAGACTGGTACCCATAGCCCACACCTTCATGACCCTCTTGCTGAGTTGCAGACACAGGTCCCATAATAACAGCACCTGAATGCCTCACAACTCGTGATTTTTCAATAGGAGAGAAATGAAAAGGGTGCCACTGGACGCCTGCTGCTCCTAAAGGTTCCCCTCAAGAGGTTCCCCCGCTGTGTGAGAAAGCCCTGCCTGCTGCAGCTCCAGGACTCTTGCGCATGTCGTTGTCTCATATCCTGGCGCTCTCTGCAGAGGGACAAGATTTGGTCCGAAAAAACATACTGAAAAAACTTCAGGATGTGTTCTATTATTTTTGTAAAAGCAATGAAGAAAGCACATCCTTCAATGAAATTGTCAAGTTCTGGGTCAAGAGGGTACAATTTATATGCATGTTATAACTCCCAGAGGGTTAGACTCAAGCTCTTCACTGATAATAAAATCATTCCTCACAGCTTTCATAGCTAGGGATGGAACTAACTCCCTTATAAAGATGATGTTTTTCAGGACTGCAAACCTAAGCACAATTTCTTTTCCCTTTCTTAAAGAAATTTTTAAGAGAGAATTACATTCAAAAATAGGTGGCATGAGAATCCCAATGCATCAAGCAGTATCAGATTTATGAAAAAAAAAAAAAAAAGAGTGTACTACCTTTATTAGATTTACTTTTCAAGAGCACCAAATTAACATACAATATTTTTGCAAAAAAATACATATAAACCAGTGGCTGCATTCATTCGTGATACAAAAGAATCGTCACAAAAAAATAAAACCAAGAGAGTAAAGCCTTATTCTTTCAGAAACAAGGATCTCCCTTAAAACTGACTTGATTTATGCAAGAAATTTTAAATGGAGAAAATTCTACTCTACAGCTAAATTCACTCCAGTCATTTTGGAACCATTAAGTTAGGTTAGATTCTTGTACTGTAAGAAAGAGTAAAGGTAATCATGGATTAAATAAAATACAGTTAGTCCACAGAGCAATTTTCTGTAGTTATAAAAATAACCGGAACAAACCTGTATTACATGGTCTTCACTTGTGATCTCAATGGCTTCTTGACTTTTCTCTAATGCTGTAAATAATGAATTGCATGCCCTGGAGACGAAAAAAAAGCATCTGATTAAATTTAATCCATATAATTCTTATTGTATATAACAATAAGGTATTGCAACTTCATACTGAATAATAATGTAATTTAACATATTTTCTTCAGCTAACTGAAATTTTATAATTAACTACAGTACAATAAAACAAGTACTCTTTTAAGGATGTGGCTGAATTGACACTGTTTTGTTGATGTTTTTGGTAAAATTACCTTAGTTTGAATTGTGCTCGCACCTCTCCAAATTCCAGCTGAATCAACTCATTGTAACAGGCCATTATATTGGAATTTTCCACATATCTCTGCAAATAAAAGGTTAGAAATATTTCATTAATACACATTTCCATAATCAAGTGTATGAAGTTTTGTCTTCTTTTGCTTGGTAAAGAACTAAAAGTAGATATGCCAAATATGAACATGTTGTAACACAAACAGCACAAGAAGATTACTTTTTAGGAATGGTAAAATTCTTCAGGTTACCGCATTTTGAAAAGGTGACAGATCCTCATGGCAATGAGGTTCAACGAACCTGTTTATTCTCTGTGACTGTCAGCATGATCAATATACAACATAATCTACTTTTAATGATGTTATATGCTTTGATGCTACTTTTTAAAAAGAACATTGAAAAGATAAAGTTGCGTCTCAAGTCATCAAAATTTGAGATTATTTTGAGGTTCCAATTGGTCATACCCCAAATTGTATGCAGAGAAGAAAGCAAAACGTCCTGACAAATATACCGGCCATTGGATACAATTAATTTACCTGGGCGCTTGTATAGGAACGACCTCAGAGTCTTTGATGATTTTTAAAAACATATCACTTTTACCAGGTATGAGCCTGAATGTTAAATCTTTGTCCATAGTAAACTGCCACAGGCACTGATAGTTTGGGGTGGAGGACTGGTTATCAAAGGTAACCCACCACATCAAGGCTGCTAAACAAAATTTTCTATACTTTGCCACGAGTCCCATCTCCAAGGCTCTGAGCCATAAATAATTCAGAACCTGTGCCGGATTACTTCTGTGCCCACTGGAATGACTCTGTACATATAAGTACAGCTTTTTTCAGGCTCTAGCATTTCCTCTATTAGGACCTTACTACAAATAAGCAAACAGGTGCAAATGGATTGTGATGGGATAGCAAAAAATCTGGTGAGCATGCAACCAAACACTCTGAATCACACTATAAATCATGCACATTTTTGTTCCATTGTCAGCTTAATGCAATGAGGAATCCATTTAACTGACGCACTAATAAGCACCTTTCCTGCTTAATTGGAATAGTTGCCAAGGAACAGGTTCAATGCAGTGCTTTTCAGGTGCCTCCAAACAATAGATAACAGCACTTGACAGTGTCTGAAGCCTGTTTACAGATGTGAATTGGCATTTGATAGAAGAGATTTCCCACAGCACGTTCTGTTGTTCATTCGAAGCCGCTCTCTGGCTCTGCTACAGTCACTAGCCAATTTTGTCAATGTCAACTTTTCAAGCAGAGCATCATGCACTTATATGTAAAAAGTAGAAAAGTCCCAGCGCCACTTCTTGTATTCCTGAGAATGTCCACCTACTTAATCAGCATCATTCTCATTCCACTGGTGTACGGTAGCTCAGAATGAACACGCGTGAGTAGCATGAACAAGATTTACAGGTTGGATTACTGACACAGTCACCGGATAGTTTCTTGCATGACAATTTTGGAATGTGAGAGCAACCTAGTAGAGTATAAAACATACATACCCTTGTGAAGCCAGCAGAGATCAGGGGCAATATTGATGACTCTTCACGATCAGCATGCCTTTTAAAAAAGGATGATAAAGTCAGAGATTATTTCTGTAATCAACTGAGACCAAATTTCACAAGCCATTGACATACCTGTACCCCAGATATCACACTAAAGGCTAATATGGCTAGATCCTTTTAGGATCTATGAATAAAACACACATTATGCAGGTTTTATAAGCTTTCGCTTTAGGCATGGATAAGCCAAAAATGTTATTTTCCTTTTTGCATGTAATGAGCTGCTTAAATCACAAAAAAAACCCCTAATGCTTCAAGAAAACCACTTAATTAGTTAGATTGTTGGACTATTCCTTCTTTTTTCGGTACTGGATTCTTTGTTGTTTATGCTGTCCCTAGTCAAAGATTCACTCGAAAGTCTACATGGCTAAAATTTTATTAAATGATTTGTTATCCTGAGTGTACCAAATCTTAGGTGGGCAACTCAGGACGCCCGAATGAGCATGGATTTTCTAGTGTTGCCTATACCATGCCTTCTAATAGGTCACTTGGGGATGACATACTCCTAAAATGAGGTATCTGAATCATTTTGAAAAACTTGGCTATACTGTTAAAAGACACTCCAACATATGTGAGTGTATGGCTGGAATCTGGAAGAAAGGCCCTTAAGTTAAGTTTCTGTAAATGAGCAGATGGTAGCTGGTCAAGTTTAGCAAATGGCACGATAGCTTTTACTTATGTGTTAAATTTTGGATCTTATAGCACCTCTTGTTTTTTTTTTTTTTCTGTGCACTTGTTTCTTATGCATGAAGAGAATAATGCCTACTACAGTACAAGGTTTGCCCAAGATTAAGCAGAGAGAAGGGCAGCTGTCAGAAAAATTTCCCCATTCCTCACGCCAGCCATCTGGTAATGCTGCCTCCCAGAAGCACAAAGAAAGAGGACAGCCATTCTGCAGGGAAAAAAAAACCCGAAAAACAACAAACGGAACTGCAGGAAAATGAAGTAGAAGACCCTACGTATGCTATTGGCTAAAAGTCAGGCTTCTTCACAAATATGTTTCTTGCAGCAAGAAAGGAAATGTGTGAAAGTTCTCTGTCTGTGAAATCCTAAATGGCGACTCGAGAACGCTTGTGTTTAGCACAGGGGAACTTGTCACAGTCAACTCAGCCCCAGCAGAAGGCAAACTCGCTTCTGAAGTTTCCCGTAGCCAGGGATACTAGACACATCTGAAAAGTCTGAGAACTCAAGCTGCTGAGATATTGTCACCACATGGGGCTATTATCTTGTCCCAACACTCAATGTGAACATTTTGAAAAGATAAAAATGAATTACAGGGAAAACCCCCTTTTGAGCAACTTCCTAATGGTGAGTCAGCAAGCCCAGCTTCCAAGCTCTCCTCACTTTTGAGGGGAACTGCTGGCCCACAGAACCACAGGTGTCTTTGTCTCTGATGTCCATGAAGAAGCTGTTGAGTTACTGTTTGCTCTTTCACTCCTTTCTTTCTCTTTTCTTTTGTATTAGTTCAATGAGAGACAATTCTGAGTGTAGAAGCAGCGGGTACCATAGTCAGGAGACTTCCTGGCACAAAAACATCAAAGCTGATTTTCACAATGGAATCCCTTGAAATGTGTAATTAGGGTCTTTTGTCCATTAGAGATGTTGGTGGAAAAGAGGATTTTTAATGGGAAACTTCAACACCTCAGAATTGGTTTTCAGAATAAATGTCTTCTGAGAAATGGACATTCCCAAAATTGTACTTCGAGGAAATTATCTTTCATTTATTTCATTTCACATTAAACATATTGCATTTTCATTACCTTTACATTATTTTATGATATATAAGTAATGTTTTCAGAGGGAGGAGGAGGAAAAAGGTATATGCACTGCTTTACTGAGATATCATAATATAGTCTATTTTATTTTTAAATCTTCTATGGTCAGATGCTACTTTAAACTGATCAAATTGTTCCACATCTTTTTTATAACTCAACAGATCTCCTGTTTGATCTGAGATAAATCAGGCTGAAACACAGATCAATAAATATTCAAAGTGTTATTTTTATTAATACCAGAATACAGATCTATGAGGCAGTTCCACAGTTCTGTATATGATGTGTCAGAGGTAATTTGAAACATACTCCTAAAGCCTCCGGAGATCAGGAGAGGGGAAAAACCAAACCAAAACAAAAAGATCCAAAGTGAGACCACTTTAGTGAAAACTAGAAATCAAAAATCCTGTCCCAGTCCTGTCGCCAAAGAAGGTGAAAACTCTAGATGGTATAATACATCACGACGAGCACAGTAAGAAGTTCTAATTCAAGTTTTTTAATGTAGTATTTGCTTTTCCAAAGCTAAGATTTACATTTTCTTGATCACCTGAAAGTAAAGATATGAGTATTTACCTTCGTACTACACCAATAATGACTGTATTTTCTGAGGGTTTCGTTGTTCTGATAGACCTTTAAATAAAAAGCAAGATCATTTAACATTTTTTTTAAGTTCACATTACAGAAAACATGACTTTACAGAATCTTCACACAGTACTTTTCTTAAAGTGTCTCTTTTAAAGGGTTTAACAACAACAACAACAACAAAATCCTGAGCCTGTTGGACCACTAAGAAAAGAGAATAAATTTAGCAGTGCCTGAGACTCCATGAAAAAAAAAGACACAGACAATGTACGTTAATCTAAACCTCAAATACTCTCAGTGGGGGAATAGCAAGAATTCTCCACTCTGCAACGACTTGTTTGAAGGACTTGGCCTCACTCATTTAAGGAGCATTTTACTTTATTCTGGGGCAGAATGGTTAAAATGTAACAAGGGGAACAGTGCTGATATCTAGTCTTTTCCCGACAAAGATCTTATCTAGCTTCTTTCCTTCAGCGAGGAGAAGAGCCTTTGTCCCAGTGCCCTGGACCCACCACACTCGCCCAGGGTACATAACCTGACCCCGCCACCCCCACCCCACAGACTGTTGCTTGGTCTAGACACATTCCCAAGGGGTATTTCACTGGAAAGTCACTGGAGCAAGGCACCACTGCCTGTCACGTCTCTGTGGAGGGCCTCAGAAAGGCAAATCCTTTCCCCCTTTTTTTCATACTTTACAGCAGTTTGTGAAAGTGGTTTTGGAATCGGTTTGCAACTTTGCTCCTCATAACAGATTTTCAAATGTTGTAGGTATGGAAACGTGCACACAAAACATTGCCTATTTGCATCTGGAGTTACTCAACAGCAAGTGACATTTCAAAAAATTCAGAACACTAATGAAGTGAATGTATTCATTAAATTGCTTGGTGGCACACGCAATTTTTGCAGTTAATTTAATGTGCGAACAAGGAACCAGGTCTTTAAAAAACCCCAAACAGCTCACTAGGGCAAGAAATTTGTGCGCTGTGGCTCCAAGCCAGATCGAGCCTCGGACATCCTAGCACACAGCTAGAAATGCTGCAGCTATCAGATGTAAAGCACTGAGGCAACATTATTTGATGCTGTCAGTGGACATCTGTCCAAAAAACATCGATGTTTGATAGATTTTATAAAAGGGTCATATAAAAGCAAAAAAACTTTGATGATGTGTTAACTATATAGTTAAGCATTAATTACACTGAAATGGTGCTTACCTGCATAATGCTTCTGCATCAAAGTATCTGGAATGTCTGTGGTCAATAATGATAATGTCATGGTGTTTATCAAGAAAACATTCTAGTGCAGACTCAGGTGTCCTGGCAATATTACATCGAAATCCAGCTTTCTCACATGCCCAACAGAACCCGTTACTCTGGTTATCTTCTTTGGCAAACACTAAAAGTACCTGGGTTAAAGACAGACAGTGATCACTACAAACAACTCTTACATATATAGTAGATCCTGTGACTTTTGCCTCTTCCTAACATGTTTTTTAAAGCTACTTCCAAGGTTTAATCCATTGTTTTTAACAGAATTGCTTTCCACAGAGCTTTTATAATTGCCTGTATACGGAGGTGTTTCAAGTGGATAAAGTAGTCTGCCAGAGCCATTTATATCCACACAGGATGAACAAGTTTGGGAAGTGGCTCTCTCATCATTAGTGACAAAGAGAGCTTAAGCAATCAGCTGAGACTAGATGCCTACGTTTCACAAAACGTACGTGAAATAACAGCAAGTCTGCTTTTCTTCACTGAAACTGTCCCACATACAACTGTTTTCTTGGGGTTTATTTTTCTTGCCAGGATCATATTCCAGGAAAAAAAATGCCACGGTTCACCTCATGTGAATTAATATTTAACAGTGCTTCAATGGCATGACGAAAAATGTGCTTTCCCTTTCAACTCATTCTAGGTCCCCCAAGTACTGGATGCAGCCCACTCTGCAGGGTTTTGGCATCTACAGACAGGCTGGGCAAGATGAACTCATGCAAGACTGAAATCATAAGCAGTACCTCTGTTTATGGAGCACGTCCCCATGTGACTCCTATGCAAAGCTTGCCGTGGGATTTACATCGCAGAAGGAGATTACCGTGGTTGAAATCCAGAACTGGAAGTCAGATCTATGAGGCAGTATTTGCTCTGTCCTAACTTACTGTGTAATTGCCAATAGCTTTAATCTCTCGGAGCCTTTTTAAAATCAATACAATGCCTGCATACTTAAAGTATGATAAGGCCCAATTCCTTCTAAAATGCATTTCAAATTTGAGGGTTGAACATAAACAAAGTCTGCTAAGGAAGACTCTCACTGATGTGATTGTGCTTTGCGTCAGGTTATTTCGTAGAAAACTTCTTTTGCCTGAAAGAATACCCAGAGTGGCAGACTATAGATCTATGTTAGTGTTGATTTTGTGGATGACTCTGTATATACAGCCTTTTAGGAAAGATGGATAACTAAAGCAGCATTTGGTCTATTGTCCCAAGACAATGATCCTTCAGTAATTTAATCAAACCACACTTAGATATATGCTTTGATCACACAATAATGTGAAGCGTGTGTACCTCGCACCACATCCCGCTGCCATTTATCTTCTGGGTGATTTTAGGAATTCCAGTGCTGGTTACACTTTGGACCAGGTTGGTGGCATGTCTACCAGTAAATCTTAACATTTCCATGTAGTGCATATTTTTGTAAGAATGAAGGACTTTGTACTCATTTAGTTCAGATTACTTTTATAGCAAGCTGCAAAACTCTTTGCAAAAGCGTGTCGTAGTTTGGGCTGTATTTAGTGAAGTTAATTTATAA